CAATGATAATACCAACATGGGCCAGTGAAGCGACATCCTCCACAACTAGACTGAAGAACAAAAGGACAGCAACTTGTCTATTCCCCTTCCCCAATTCCCCAATGCTGTTCACCTCCCCCCAACCCCCCAATAAAATCTTAAAAACAAACAAGAATGAGCTGGAGAAAAAAACTACTCTTCTGAGTCCTGGGTGGTGGGTGGGAAGAGGAGGGTGATGTCAGAAAACAGGGAAGCGTCTGTATAATTTTCTTTAATTTTCATGAGAATTCTAGACAACAAATATAAATATGAAAGCAAACACACAGAAAATACATCTGACAGAAATAACATGGCAGGCAATATAAATAGTAATCGTTACATGAAAAAACACATAGCCTTACCAACAATTAAATACAAATAAATTTTTTAAATTTCTAGAAGGATACACAAGAAATTGTTAATAGTGGTTGCTTTCAGGAGGGCTGAAAAAAACAAGCTAAACTATAGTCATGCAACCCATAACAATGGTCAATGATGAACAGTGCATACCATGGTGGTCCCATAAGATTATAATGGAGCTGAAAAATTCCTATTACCTAGTGACATCATAGTTGTACTAGTGTTGTAGTGAAATGCATTATTCACGTGTTTGTGGTGACGCTGGTGTAAGCAAACCTACCTCACTGGCAGTTGCAGAAAAGTATAGCACACAGTTATGTACAATACATAATACTTGGTAATGATCATAAACGACTCTATTACTGGTTTATGTATTTACTATACCATATTATTTATTATTTTAGAGTGTACCCTACTTATAAAAGAAAGTTTGCTGTAAAACAGTATGTCGTGCTACAGCAGCAGCAGCAGCAGCCTCACACATCTCGTGTTTAGTGAGTCTCTTGATTGTNCTTAGTTGTGTAGGGTGCAGCTAGCTCAGCTCCCAAGCCCAGTTGCCATCTGGCTGCCCATTGGCAGCTCTCTACTGCTCAGTTCAAGGTTCAATTTAGTTGGGGGCGGGGGAGAGTGCAGCCCACCATCCCATGCGGGAGTCGAATCAGCAACCTTGTTGTTAGGAGCACATGCTCTCACCAGCTGAGCCATCCTGCTACCTGTTGGCAGCTTAGCTCAGGCGCAGCTCACTGGCCCATGTGGAAATCGAACCGGTGACCCTGTTGCTCAGAGCTCGTACTCTTAACCAACTGAGCCACTCGGCCAGCCCCAAAAGACTCTTAAAACTCAACAGTAAGAAAATGAATGACCCAATTAAAAAGTGAGCCAAAGATGTTAATAGTCATTTCACCAAAGAAGATATACAGAAGACAAATAAGCATATAAAAGCTGTTCCATTTAATGTCATTAGGGCTATGCAAATTAAAACAACAGTGAGATATCATCACACATGTATTAGAATGGCCAAAATCCACAACACTGACAACACCAAATGCTGACAAAGATGGGGAAAAACAGGAACTCTCCTCCATTGCTGGTGGGAATGCAAAAATGGTACAGCCACTTTGGAAACAGTTTGGCAGTTTCTTACAAAACTCAACACATTTTTACCATAAGATCTACTAAGCACACCTCTTGGTGTTTACACAAATGAGTTGAAAACTTATGTCCACATAAATATCTGCACATGGATGTTTATAGCAGCTTTATTCATAATTGCCTAAACTTGGAAATTAAATTAGGTTGCCTTGTTGGTTCTTTTTGATGTGATTATTACATTGGCAGTGGGTATTGTGTATCCTGAACTCAGCAATGCTTTTAGTTGTTTGAACAATTACTGTGTTTCCCTGAAAATAAGACCTAGCCAGAGACTAAGCCATAGCGTGATTCTCCAGAGGGCATGCACCCCTAACATGAGGGTTTTATGACCTGTTTCAGGGAGAAGGGTGCCTTTTCCACAAACTCCTTCAGTTTAAAATATTCAGTATGCCAAGATGCCATATTTTGGCATCTAAAATCATGCTACGGCTTATTTTCTGGCTAGGTCTTATTTTTGGGGAAACGGTATATCTATCTAATGAAATTAAAAGACCTGAGGAAGATCTCTACTGCCAATCCAAAAAGGTCAGCAGTGGCTCCAGCACCTTCAACAATTTTATCAGTGACTTACAGGCTTCACGGAAGCTCACCTTTAGTTAATGGATCTCTATTACATGTTCATCTCACACAGGCTTCTTCAATAATGAAAACATTTCTATGTTAGGCACTCTAAACATTTTGCCTCATTTAATCCTCACAAAAATCATATGAGGTAAGTACTTTTATTCCAATTTTACCAATAGGAAAACTGAGGTCCAGAAAGGTTAAGAAAATTGTGTTACATCCAACAACTTACGAAGATAATGCTTCAGATCTGTATGGCACAAACATCAACAGACATCCTTCCACCCCTTTATGTGGTAGGGAAAACTGGAGAAAGAATATACGCTCCGGGGAGAAAGTCTGATTAAAGACCTCAAAAATTTTATGATTTGATGTATATAATATTTACACAAAAGACAAAAGAGTGTGATGATGCCCTGTACCGAAGGATACACCATAGGATTTCCTTAAACCACAAGCTGTCCTAGTGCCATGAAAATGTGATCTGAATGTCAAACATATACAAGTTTTCAGGGATGCTCCTATGCTATCTGATGAGGTGTTCTGTGAATTCTCCCCTTTTCAAGTGTTATCATCGCTGTTTAAAGGCTGCACTAAGAAAGGCTGCTGGCCTCAGCTCTGCTGGTCTTATGTGAAACAATTTCCCCCACATCTCTTCTTACTGGTCTCCAAATAAATCTCTTCTTCATGGCCAGTGTCTGTGTGCTATAAATAAATGAATGCATTGAAATAACTCAGTAGGAAGGGACGTTTGATCACAATGACTCAGGGGAAAATCTGCTGTATCATTTCTAGTTAGTAAGCAAATGTGAATAAGTGATTGCATTTCAATAACTTTGAAAAGTCTACAAAGGTTCAATGTTCAAGATAACCCAAGAATTGTATACTTTTAGTTAATGATTACAGAGAAATTTTAAAAAGGCTTTCTCTCTTGTGCAATACCGTAATCCAGATTTAAGCGGTAACAATAACAAGATTTTTTTCCTTCACATTTTTTCCTCATTAAACTTTGTTTTAATGAGTCTCAAAATTCTGTGGCAGATTTTCGGTCAAGTTGTTTTTATTAAAAAGTACTGATTTTAAAACCTAACTTAAAAGCTGCCACACTCCAAAAAGCAAAGTGATCCACAAACATTCTTCTTTCCTTCTGAAGGTTTTGCGATGTATTGTTAACATTAATCAGTCTTTTACTACTTAACTAACATGGCCAGTTGACACAAACAGTTCTGAAGCTGTTCTTCCACCACTGATTAAGACTGGGGTGGCAGGTATTGGGGATAATATTCATTTAGCCTTCTGAGCTTTCTGGGCAGACTTGGTGACTTTGCCAGCTCCAGCTGCCTTCTTGTCCACGACTTTGATGACACCAACAGTTGTCTGTCTCATGTTGTGAACAGCAAAACAACCCAGAGGAGGGTGGCCAGAGAAGCTCTCAACACACACGGGCTTGCCAGGAACCATATCAATGGTGGCAGCATCACTAGGTTTCAAAACCTTCCGGCCATCTTCCAGCTTTTTCTCAGAACAATCATCAATCTTCTCTTTTAGTTCAGCAAAAATTGTTCACATTTGCAAGTGATGTGAGCTGTGTGACGATTCAGAATAGGTGCATGTCCAGCATGGCTTTGGCCTGGATTGTTCAGGGTAATCACCTGAGCTGTGAAGCCAGCTGCCTCCATAGGTGGGTCAGTTTTGCTGTCGCCAACCACATTGTCATGATGAACATCTTTGACAGACACGTTCATGACACTGAAACCCACATTGTCCTCAGGAAGAGCTTCACTCAAAGCTTCTTGGTGCATTTCACCAGACTACTTCATTACAACAGACTACTTCAGTTGTAACGTTGACTGGAGAAAAGGTGACCACCATGCCAGGTCTCCACTTGGCCCACAGAGACGGTACCAATACCATCAATTTTGTAGATGTCTTGGAGGGGCAGATGCAAAGGTTTGTCAGCTGGATGAGTTGGTGGCAAGATGCAGTCCAGAGCTTCAAGCAGCGTGTATCATTGTCATCTTTACAGGAAATTTTCTATTCCTTGAGCCAAGGCATGTTAACACTTGGCTCCAGCATGTTGTCACCATTCCAATCAGAAACTGGCACAAAAGCTAGTGTGTTAGGGGTGTAGCCATTTTTAAAAAAATTATTAAGATTTTTATTGGGGAATTGGGGAAGGGGAACATTGTGTTGCGTTTTTTTTTTTTTTCCAGGACCCATCGCTCCAAGTCAAGTTGTTGTCCTTCAGTCTTAGTTATAGAGGGCACAAGCTCAGCTCCAAGTCCAGTCGCCGCTTTTCAAACTATAATAGTTGTGGGGTGGGGTCGGGGGTGGGGCATGCGGCCCACTATCCCATGTGGGAATCGAATCGGCAATCTTGTACAGCTGAGCCATCTGGCCACTCTTTGGCAGCTCAGCCTAGGCGCAGCTCATTTGCCCATGTGGGAATTGAACCAACAACCCTATTGCTCAGCGCTCACACTCTAACCAACTGCGCCACGTGGTCAGCCTGCCAATTTTCTCTTTTNAAAAATTAAAAAATAAAAAATAAAAAATAAAAATAAAGGCAAGGCTCTTAGCATATACATTCATTAGTACCCAAATCTGTGCATGCTATTCATAGAGGCTCCATTACTAGCTTCCTGACCAAGGGTAACTCTTTAGAATATGCTTCAGTTACTCTCCTAAAATAGAAAAAAAAAACCAGTTCTATTACCAGTGTGTTGTTAGTATAAAATGTTGTGACATTATACATATGAAAGTGACAGATAAAGCTAGCGATAAACTTCGCCATTTGGGACCTGCTCACAGGAAAAGCATCTTTCATCACTAAATTCCATTCTTCCTATCTGTAGCCTCAGTTGAAAGAAATAGCTGTTCTGATTAACTTCCCTAACTTCCACAATTTTTACTATAGGTCTTTGTAAATTGTCAGATGAACCTTATGGTCCAGCCATTTTTCTACCTGGGAACAGAGGTAGAGATAACTTGGTAAACACCAGAGATAACTTCCACCTTTATCAAGTCTGGGAACTTTTACATCCCGCTTCCCAAATCTGGGAATTTTTATGCCGTACCATTTTACCCTGTATCCTTAGCATCTTGCCCAAGGCAACATATCCAATGAATACATAATAAAAAGAGACAATGAAAGAAAAAACAAAACAAAAATCTTCCCTTTCATATTCAGCTAGGCTTATTCAGGGTGAAAATAAGAGACTCATAATAGAATGGAAATTTTTATTTTACAAATGAAAAAGTAAAATACTTCTATGAAACTGACCCATAAGTCATACTCTAAATTCATACCTTGCAGTTGAATTTTCTCGGTTCATCAATTAATACCACTGAAGACAGACTAAGCCTCTATCTGAGGAAGAAGCACAGACCAGATTCAACCATGATGATGGAGATGGCTGGTGAGATTTAGCAAAGGGAGTCATTGTAGCTCTGTTTCAACAGCTTTTTCTTCTTGGAAAGATTCTCCATGGCCATGTGAGGCTTAAAACAAAGACCTTTACTGTCCTGGCCAGAAAAGGTTACAGTTGTGTCACAGGGAATTGTAGACTATGCNTTCTGGTGCTGATTTAACCTCATGTTGTTTTGTACAGTAACATGATGTACAGGCTTGTAGCCCAGGAGCAACAAAATATGCCATGTAGTCCAAGTGTGATACCATCTCGGTTTGTGTAAATGCACCCTATGGTGTTTGCAATGATGAAATCGCCTAACGATGCAGTTCTCTGAATGCATCCCTGTTAAGTGGTGCATGACAGTGTATAAAAGATGTTGAATCCAGTAGAATACTTGTTCCCCATCAGCAGCCACCAAACAACTTGTTGATCAAAACCACCTGTTGATAAGACAAAGCAGAGCGTATTCTTATCACAGCAAGAAAAATCATTACCTCGACATGTGTTGACATTTTTACTATGAAGTTGTTTAAATTCATAATACCAAATACATTCTTATAACTTATGGTTATGACTATACAGTTTTGTGAATTGAGAACAAGAAAATGGTCAAATTAGTAGGCCTAAGGAACTTTGCTGAACACTACTGTAAAATACTTATTTCTCTGTGTCGCTACATATATCCACACATGTATGTCAAAATCTTGGGAGAGTGATTTTATTAGCACTTACCAAAATATTTGAGAGGAATATACTACATATATCCACACGTTTGTAAAAATTTTGGGAGAATGATTTTATTAGCACTCACCGAACATATTTGAGAGGGATTACCAAGTGGTATTCGCGAAAGAAGTTTGAAGAGGTCCATATTTTAAAGAAAAAAATCTATAATTTCAATTTAAAATTTTTACTGTGGAGGTTGGGCACATAGAGCAGCAAATACAGTGCTGGGCATATGGATATGGGCTAAGTAAATAAAATGTGCTATTCTCATAATCATGACTTTTGACTTGAGACACAACTGTTTCCATTTGACCAATAAAGAAAGGAAGGGTCTTTTTGGCATCTTGTGAGTGGATCCTTGTGCAGTGGGTTGAAAATCTCCAAATAGGGTTACGTATTTATAGGTGTCCATTCTTCACACTCTTGACTTCTGAATAAATTCAAGGTATAAAGTGCATTCTGTAAGACAGCTCTGAAGTTGGCTGAACTCTGGACCAGCTTAATTAAGCTGTAAGTTTAGAGGCATTTGAGCTCGGTCAAACCATGTAATAACTTACCAGTAAGACATTTTCTAAAGATAGAATTTCCCTTCCAACTATCATACTGTACACACAAAGATTTGGAAGTTTCTTAACCCCATTACGAAAGGTTGCTATGAGCCTTCTTCACAGCAAATGCTGGAAGGCAAACTGACTCATCCCCCAACTACCTTAGGACCCTTATAAAAGGCACACCCAGCTTATTGTAGATAGGCTTGGATGAAAACATATTATTAGTTCAGATAACCAAAAACCCAGATATAGTGCTCTTCTCAGGATTGATTTATTCCAATGGCTATGCTCCATTTCCCTCTTATTTTTTTGGCTTTGCTCTCATTTGAAATCAGCTTTCTCCTCAAACAGGTGATCAGATGGCTGCAGCAGTTTCAAGACTCATATTCACACATCGTAACATATAGCAAAGAGAGAAGGGGTCATTTTCAGGTCTCCTAGAGC